ATAAGGTGTGATTCTATTTCTTTTGTGTTTATTTTTTACTTCAAGGTCACTTTCTAATAGTTCTTATGTTGAAGCATGGAAATAAATGAAATGTTGTCTGGGCCCTGAATTCACCTATGATTGGCAACAGCTTCCCTACTTCTAGATTCTAAAATTTCTTTTGATTCTAAAATATTTTTAAATGTTTCTTTGAGAGTATCTTTTTTATCATCACGAGGCCTAGAATAGTGGGTTAAACCAGTGTAACTTCCTTATAAATACTATTAGCATGTCAACATGTCTTATAAACAATAGATGTTCAGGAGGCTCATGATCTTGAAACTTAAAAAGATTGGATTATTTTCTTAGTACACAGAATGGAACAATGGCAATACAAACAGGGGCAGCAATCTAGATTTGGACATGTAATATTTATGGATTCTGATATATTATAATTTTGCTAATACTTTCTTTTTGTAGTCACCTTTTCTCATTAGAAATGTGTTTAGGGATTAAACCTTGTTTTAGCTGTAGTGTTTTGAGTTGCCTTGGTAATGCCTATAAATCAGTTTTTAGTTCATAAGGACATACACAGATGCAGTGTCTTAAAATAAGAGTATTATCATAAATTATATGTAAGACTTTTCACCTATGCATTTCAAGTGAAACTAGGGTAAGAACAACTGTCAGCTACAATGGCTATTTTGTGTCAACCCAGACTTAATATCTGCCAAAGTAATTTTTGTTTATAAACACAGGTTTTCCCGTGTTTAGTTTGATGTGTTGTACTGAACAGAGCATAAGAAAGCTATGTGTTTCTATGTATTCCATTAAATAATATTGAAACGCAATATGCTTGGTTTTGAAAACCAGGTTTTTATGCAGGAGTCAGTTTTAGATCAGTGTTCAAATAAGGATGTCATTTGTTGTCATGGTTGTTACATTTGGGAAGCAACATTAGTTTGAAATCTGTATTATCCTCTTGTTTTCATTGCTTCACTTTGATATGTGTAGGAGAAGTTACAACTGCAAGGAGTATTTCTTTTGAAAGAAGAAGTCCCAATACAGAAACTATGTGACAGTCAGTCTTCATGTCTTGGACTATTTACATGGGATTAGGATTCATTTCTGATTCTCTTCTGTCATGTAAAGAAAAAAGGAGGAGAAAAAATCCCCCAAAGAAAGGGTCACTGGCTTTAAAAAATTCTTTTTCTTTCCAAGAGTGTGGAATGTTAATATCTCACTGAGGCTTAAGTTTTTACTGTTGTGGTCATGGTAACAGGCTCCTTTCACCAAGTAAGCAGGCCTTGCAAAACACAGAGACCTGGCACAAACATTTGATTTTCTTCAGTACAGTAATATTAAAGCAGATTCTTTCCTTATGCCAAACACAGGATTCATTGTGGGAAACCATTTTTAATATGTAGCTTCCATAGGAAGTTAAATCTCTTCGTAACCCTCAAAATTAGTGGATATGCTTTTTTACCTTTTTAAATGTTTTCATAAGCAGCTGCTAAGCAAAACTCCAGACCACTTGTACTTTAGTTGAGAAAATCTATTTTATTTTACAACATTTCTGGCATAACAAATACCTTCAAGATTTTCCCTAAAATATTTGATTCGAAAGCTGAATCTTAAAACTTTTCTGAAAATTCCTTGTTTCTTAATACTGTGTTCTTCATCTCAGAGTTGTTTTGAGTCACCTTGCCTTCTTTTGTTGATTAATATTTCCTTGGACTTCACTTATTTTACACTAACAGCTATAGAGATCTCAGGCAGTAATAATGAAAACAGTGAAATGTGAATACAGGCTTAATTACAGCTGATTTTTATAGAGCAGGTATTGATTTGGTACAGAGATTACTAGTTCAAGATCAGCTTCATCCTTTTCTTTTTTTCTCCTCCTCTTAGGAGAGGGCTCTTCAGCATGTCCAGACCTGCTAATTTGCTGTAGCTGTTTCTTACTTAAGTCCCTGATGCCAGGAATTGAACTCTAGTTTTGTGAAAGCTAATGAAATTGCCAGCAAGCTTTGTGTTATAAATTACTATTTACATCTATATAGTATTAAAAAAATGCAGCCCATTAATGAACAGCTTTGAGTGCTACTGCTGTACTCTTGGTTGGCCCGAAGTGCTCCTATGAAGCAATGAGAAAAAGAGAGAAGAATCTGTTCTTTTCCTGAGTTCTTGAATGAATAATGACAAAGGACTTGTCTGTATTAAACTATAACAGAATCAGGGAACCCAGCAGAAAGCACAGTTGTTCTTTGACCTACTTTCAGCAATTTAGGCAGTCTAGAGAGCAGCCTTCATGGTTTAGGTAGAGCCTACATAGCACATATAATGTTAAGTGGGATTCATGTAAGATTTTTTTAGGGAAACGTTCGGGGCCCCTATTCCCTGTCATACCTCCTGTGGGAAAAGAGGAGAGGAACCAGGTTGTTCAGTTCGCCCTTGTGTACACGTAAGTCACACCAATATAACTGCATTGGTTTAAAATTGCACTAAAGTTAAATCAGTGCAGCTTTCTCATATAGGCAAGGCATTAAACTCTTAACACCTGGAGTCACCATCACATTCTGCCCTTTTGGTGTATGAGGCTTGAAAATTCTACGAGAAGCATATGGCAAGGACTTAAATGATCTGTCGATAATCTAGTTTTGTTGTGGCTTTTGCGGCCTGTATGACAAGCACTAACAGCAGACTTCATTGAAGAGTCATGCTGCTATTTTGCTTTATTTTTTTACCTCCTGCCTACTGTCTTTTCAAAGGCTAATGGAATAAATGAAAGGAGAGGTAAAGTTGTTTAGACTATTAATTTGATGTGGCTGGTTATTGATTTCACATCTAATGTTAAAAACTTTTGCTTAGGGTTATTATTGCATGCCTTGCCAGGTTTGTACTTATTTAACATTTATTGAAGCTTTTAAAATGATTAAATTAAATTGATGTGAAAAGCTCTATAGGTAACTTTTGGGTTTAGAATAGGTTTATTTTGCTTTACTATCAGTTGATTAGCAATAAGATCAAGCTAAACTGAAGTAAAAGAACATAAAATGAAAGAAATGAAGCTACATGGGGATTTTGCATTGATTTAGCTAAATTCTTGCATGTTTATGGCAGATAAAGCTTTACTAAAGATCCTTATAGACTTGTAAAAGTCTAGGTCTGCTTTCCTACAGCTGAACTGGTGAGATTAAGTGCAAAAGATCTATGATATAAGCATTATAATTTCACTAAACTTAGTTTGGGTTGTGTTGGTTTCCCTGCAATTATGTCAACTTTATGTATATTACATCTGTTTCTTCTTTTTCTGTGTTCTGCACTGCATGTAACTCTGGAAGAGCCAATATTATATGATTTCCTGAGAAGAAAGAGGCAGTTTCTCTAAAATAATCTCTGCAGCACTGGAACTCTCTACTTATCTACAGAATGAGCCAAAATGAGCAAAATAGTATGCTGTAGCGTTCTTGTATGTGCTATTGGGGGACCTGGAAGAGGCTGTACCTTAGGAAAGGAGGACATGCCAGTCTACAAAATCATCCTTATTTTGTTTATGTTTTATGATTTGTATTAAAGTAGCAGCTAGAGGTCCCAGGTTAGGGTTGTGGCCCTATAAAAATATGAAAGCTAGTAAAAGATAGTCCTTGGACCAAAGAACTTGTAGTATTGTTTAATGATGAAAGAATAAAAGGATGGGATTGTAGAGGGGGAAATTAGGTAAGTATTATACCATCTTTTTCACAAATATTAATTATGCAAACAGTGTATGCATAACAGAGTTTACAATTGCTTAGTGGTGGTCAACAGATAAAACTGTTGATATGAATATGCAGCCAAACTTGCATCTTAAGCACATCTTATAAAACTAAATGTTTTCCTGCAATCTAGGTCTTCAGTTTAAATTAGAAAAATACTAGAAGGAATCTAAATTGCGCAGAGTCAAATTCTCAGCTCTGCTGTTAGCACCAGAAGATTACAGAGCATCTTCACCAAATCCTGTTACAGCCACCAGTCACTTAGAAAGACAATAGGTAGAAATTCTATTTTAACTATTAGAGAGGACCTGGCCATTTTTTTTTACTGTGATTCCTAGTAGGGGTGTGCAAAGTGGCAAACCCAGAAGTATTTCTGGTCCACTTCTGGGTCTGCCATGGAGCACTCTGGGCCCCCCCATGCCTTCCCCAGCTCAGTGATCAGCTGCAGGGGGACCCTGGGTGCCCCCCCCGGACCCAGGAGGCACCAGTCGCCGACCCGGGGACTAGTGGCGGGGGCCCCCAGTGCACTCCGATGGACCCGGAAGTGGACTGGAAGTGCTTCTGGTCCACTTCCGGGTCTGCTGCCAAGTGCTTTTGTGATACACTCCATGTGCCCCAGCATTGCAGCACTCATGAGCTGCCTGCTACCTAGAGGTATGTAGAAAAAAACATATAAAGCTGTCTCTATGTCTGAATCTCCAAATCTTTCTGAATCAATTTGGAGGGTTCTGATTTGATTCAGAGAGATTAAACAGCCCTCTGATTTGATTCAGGTTTGGAGATTCAGCCACCAAATTGGGCCAAATCTCCCCTGAATTTATGCAGGGACCGAAGCTTCACACAGCCCTAATTTCTAGTGGATGATGGAACAGTTTTTTGCCCAGGGTAAAGAGAAAAGAAAAATTTGCCATAATGGCAAATTATATTCTAAAACTTGCTGCTACTCCTCATTACGTTCACATGTTTTGATGTTTGATCATTACAGTAAAACTCTTAATGATTTGGACTGCAAATGAATGATATTCCCAAGTATTTGTTAAAGTAACTTCTTATAGATTCATAGATTGTAGAGCTGTAAAGGACTTTGGAAGATCATTGGGTGTAGCCCCCTGCACCAAGCAGGAAAGATAACGGGGTCACCTCTGGAGGGAGCTTATTCCACAGTCTGGACTCCCTGACTGTGAAGGAGTTTTTCCTACTGATGAGCCTGAATCGATCTTTCAGGAGTTTGTGGCCGTTACTCCTGGTTCTTCCCTCGTGTGCCCTGGTGAACAGTTGCTCACTGAGCCCTTGATGTACCTAGTGTAGCGGTAAGCTGCTACCAGGTCCCCTCTCAGCCTTCTTTTCCTCAGGCTGAAGAGTCTCAGATCCCTCAGCCTTTCCTCGTATAGCTTATATATGAGGAAAAGTAATAGTTTTAAATTAGATAGATAGATAGATAGATAGATAGATAGATAATTTTTTTTTATACATGCTGGTTGATGATTTTTCATTCAGCCCTAATAGCATAAAGTATACAGTTTACACATGAAGAATAAGGTTTGCAGTTGTACATCCATATGGGTCTTGAGAAGACTAAGGTAACAGTTCCAGGATCTAGATAGCCAGTCTTCTGGGCCCTGCTTAAAAAGAATGTTAGACATGGTATCTGCACCTGCAGAATGTGTTTAAATGATTTGGAACTAGGAAAAGTAATCTGCTATTGCTCAGATTTGAACAGGGGACAAGGGTGTGGGGTTAGCAGCATGAGGAATTTACTGATTGGATCCCAACACTGTTGATTCATGCTCATTGAAAGAATAGAACTGGACTAGCCAGGTAGCTTAAGTACTTGAAAGATTCTAGTTTAACACAGGTTAATCTGAATCTTTTTTTTCATGCTACTGATCTTCACTCATTTCTCTCATTTGGTTTGACTACAGTATAAACAAACACACTGAACAAATAAACTAACATTTTGAGACATTATCTTTTTACTTTTTCAACAGTTGGCTTTGCTAAAAACCAAGCAGTAGTGCAGAGCTCAGGGATCTATCTCTGCTTTCTGGATTCGGTGAGTTAAATTTTTTACATTCTATTTAGTTTTGTCAACAAAGCACTTTGTTTTTCTTATGTGGGTTGATTTGCCTTTTAGTCGAACAATTTATCATATTTGTATACCTGTTTAGTACTAATTATAACTTGGTATTAATCTTCTAACTTTGCAACTACCTTACAGCCCTACCACTTTGTTCTGTAATCTCATATCATAAGGTGCTGTTAGTAGGGTTGGACCAGGTGGACATTTAGATAGTCTTAGGAGTTTTGCCTTCCTACATACTGGACCAAGGCCTTCATGTAGCAATAGGAGGTGTCCTGTTTTAGGATGTTTATTTTTTCAGGTCAAGTGTAGAACCAAGGTCTTGACAGTCTCTGATCTTTTCAGGAGAACATGGGAGCTAATACTACAAGTCTGACTAGATTTAACTTGGGTAATCATGTTCTGTTTTCATAAATTTCACTTTCAGTGGCAATTGATTACAGGGTTCCCTTTTTTAATTTCCTGGTTTAAACTCCATGTACTATTGCTAAACACTTCTAAACAGCTGTATATTTTCATTTGTTTCGATTCAAGGGAATCTACCATTTATTTTGTCCCAGCTGAGCACTGGTTTTACAAAAATACTTTTCTAGTAGTAATCTGATTGTCTATCTGTAATCACGCCTATATAATTTAAACTCTGTTTAGGTACATGTGTATTGATGGCAAATTTTTTTTATTTGGATGAATTATGTTGATGCGTTCTAGTCTTTTAGTCTCCTACTTAAACAGAATTTTAAAGAGAATTTTAATCTTTATAGAAGGCTGTGAAAAATGACATTTCCAAAAGTATATATCAAATATTGCATGTGTATTCCTGAAATGACGGTTGAGCATTCAGAGTAACAGACCTCATTCATCTATAAAAATCCTTGAGCATCTGACAGCTCACATGTTTCACATAGCACAAAATATTTTACTTCAGTAGTTCTTAGTGAGTTATAGAACACTGCAGTCTTTACAAAGTCTCATTACTGGTTTCTTAATGGCTTTTTCATAAGAGAATTATTTTACAAGAAGTGGAAGGATGAAAGTCTGTTGCATGTCCACCTGTGAAGCAGCATTATTTTAAAGTAGGTTATGGGTGCTTTTTGTAAGCCAGTGGGGGCCAAACTTTGTGGCAAGAATGCCACAAATACCCTCTCCACAAATGCCACTCTTATCCCCTTCCCCCTGCCTGGTCTGCTGCTATGCTTTCTGTGCGATCTGCTACTTTGGTTTCTGGTCCCTGCCCTATCTACCACTGTGCTTCCTGCTCCCTCCCCAATCAGTCATGTGCCATACATAGAGGCTACCTGTGCCACTTGTGGCACCTGTGCTGCAGGTTGTAAACTATGTTTGTGAAGGCCTTGGCCCTGTATAGGATAAAGTAATGGAAGTTTTGTTCTTGACTGCAGTACATATAGGAATATATATTATGATTATGAGTAGACACTATGCAAATCTTCCTTGTACACTGCCAGAAGTTACCATCTTAATTCATGTGAGTAGTCAGTGAACATGAGTCTTGCTGATTTTGAGTTCAGTAGTACTGTTTTAGAAGTAAAGTTAGCAAGATCTGATTAAGTCAGTCAGAATTTGCAGTTTGGGTATTAGAGTCTTGAATAATTGTGCCACAGTGTATAATTTAATTAAAAGGGGTTTGGGATGAAACCACTGACCTAATTCTAGTTATTGGGAATCTGTGTTTCCATAGATAAAAACCAAGTGAACTAATCTATTGCACCATGTAGCTTCATGCCCCCTCTTGCCAAAATGCTTATATATAACATCTGTTGGTTATTAGAATCTCACGTAATAATTAGCATCATATTACCAAAAGAATCTAAAGCTAAATGCCAAAAGTATTGTACCACAGGTATTTTCTGCTGCATGTTAGAGTCTCACTTAATAGAATTGTACACTTACTAGCATACAAGTTTTTTTCCACCCACTTTGAAAGCAAGTCTGCCCATGGGGATGTTCATTGTGCAGCTAGCTTGCTACGCAGTAGCCATTGATCAACTAAGCATGGGTGATTGGGGGGTCCACACGGGCTTTTACTTTGCCCTTTTTACTTTGTCGCTGGTTCTTAGAATCACCAGTTTTCTGAATCAAAGGTTCTCTGTTCAATGTGATTCTGATAATCAACAGACACTGCATGTGATTCACTGAGGTAAGTCTTGAAGGGATAGTTTTGCAACTTCTACCTGAGACAGCTGTAAAACCGTGTGATTGTAAAGCGGGTAGGTTTTTTACATTCTTGTATTTAACATTTAAATAAAAGCTATATTAGTTTGTATGTATAAATCATTTTTATAGTCTTGGACTTGATTACATTTATATATCATGCACCTTCACATTGCCATGCAGTTTCCCTTCACTGACTTGTTCTGTTGGGTAAAATAGTCAGTAGCAATCATCCAGAAATATTAAGGCATAAGAAGAAGGACCCACTCTCCCCCTCCCCACTGGGTGGTTATTTCAGACTTGGTACAATATTCATTTTAGCATGAATATGCTCTTTGTAAGGTCAGCACCATTTGCAAAGGTTTTGGATGAATTGTTTTCTTCTACAATAAGATTACGTTCAGAAAAAAAACACAGAAGCCACAGTTTGTTTTTTCTTTTTCACATCCATACCCACATCTCATTGAACTAGATATTTTAAAGAATAAATCATTCTAAACCAGCCAAATCAAGTATCTATATGAAAGAAATTATTTATCTGATTTGTTGTTAAAACGTCCTTCCATTTCTTTTTGTGATTATGACTGTTTTCTGAAAATGAGCAGCTCTGAGGGGATAAAATAATTGCAGACACTGCTGTACCATAGGGATTGCTCAATTTTCTTGGAAGGAGGTATTGGCTCCAAAGAGAACTTGTTCACTTGACATCCCAGCTGGAGGCAAGCTGCTCTTGTATCGCAGCAAAGATACCTCTGTGAGGAAAACGAATTGGGGAAAAATGTGGAAAAGAGAATAAAGAGCTCAGAACTGTCAGAATTTGATCAGTTCATTCTTGCGTTAAGTGCTGGCAATTGACTAACAACTAATGTGTGCTTGTTTTTCTGCAGCAACTATTTGTTAGACTATTTGTAACTAATTGTTTCAATTACCAACTCTTATCTACTTTCTTATTTTCCCCATTGTTAAAATAGGTAAAGGGTGTCGGGGCCAAGGGGCTGTGGCCAGCAGCCCGGGCACGTGGGCCGGGGAAGTCGGCACGGCGGACTAGAATTAGGCACTGACACGTGGAGGTTGATTAAAGATTATTTTACTTACACCGTAGATGGTCGCGGTGCAGGCAGGAAAACTTGCTTGAGTTGCAGTTACAGACAAACACAAGTGGAGTTTGCTAGGCTCCACCGAAGACACACGAGTGGAGTTTGCTAGGCTCCGCAAAACAAACACGATGAGAGCTCTCTGAACCTATACGAGAGTCCGAGCTGTGACTCTCAACGAGCGCGCAGGGCATGGGTACGTCAAGGATCGTCCGGTGACGGGGAGAGTTTCTTGATGGCTGATCAAACCATTATTCGGTCCAAGATATACGTAGAAATCCACGAGATAATCGTGGACTCCTTGCCGGAATTCTCTCAGATTTCTCCCGGAATTCTCGGAATCGGGGTTCTCAGGATCCTCCTGAGATTCTCGGAGATCTCCAACTTGGGCGGAAACTGCTCAAGCCTCTTATACGGCTAGCAAGCCAATCGCTAGCTGCCACGTGGGAATAATTTAGAAACAGCCAATAATGGGGAACAAATTTACATGCGAGCGGTGGGAACTCCTTTGCACCGGGGTTTTCTCTCTGCAGCTGAGAATTGCACCGTGCAAAGAAAGCTCCATGTGGCGGGAAATAATTCTGCAGTGCCGAAGCGCACACACAATCATTGGGTAATGACAAAGGGTAGTACACATTTGAGAAATTGTTCATATTTTCATGGTTTTTATATTCTGGCTAAATCTTAGCTATAGTAATGACTATGGACTTATGGAACTTACTAATTTATGGACGCACACTCTTATCTTGCTCTCCATTCCATCTTTAGGTGTTTGCAAATTTACTAGTTGCATTGTATTATAATCTTAGATCAAGGTTGCACAACTCAAACCTCACTGAGGCCCATCTGCAAAGTACACTTTCAAATAGAAGACTGCCACTATTGGTATCCACTCTGATCAGATGTAAGCCCTCAGTCCATTTGCAAGCTGGAAACTGGACCACACATGCAGGTTCATGAACGAATTACTGAATCAATGCTCAACAAAGACACAGGACTTGCTTTCTGGCTTTTCAACTTTTTTGTTTAATAAAATGGTTGAGTACAGAATGATGGGACTGCTCTGGTGGGCCACATTTGACTCACTGGCCACATGTGACCCCTGTTTTTGATGTGAGCTCTGGATCAGAGGCCATCTTTATTACTCATTTATACAGTCCCTAAAACCAGTGGTTAGCAACTTTTCAGAGCTGTGGCCAAAACAACCAGGCTTGGGTCCAAGAAAGGCAGGCTAGTAGTCTAATCCGGCTGCCTTGGCTTTTCTTGTCATCAACTTTTCCCTGGCTCCCAGCTGAAGTGCAGGTACAGATCCCAGCTACCCAGTGGTAACGCAGCTTCTCACTGCCTGACCTGATGCCATGGGTGTAGTGAAGCCCCACACAGCCGGAACATCTCTGAAGCCCCCTAGCTCTGTGAGTTGCATGGCTCTTAAGCAAGCTTACCCTTGCTTAAGAAAGGAAGACTGGTCTTCAGAGGGAACTTCCAGCATAAAGAACAAAGTAATATGGCTTACACTTACAGATACAAATTATAGATGCCTGTTCCTATTGTTGAGCTCTTATTTATAGTGACATTCACTCATCTTCAGGTGAACCAAATGAAAATGAATTGAGACAGAGAAGTGATGGTGGTGGGCAGGCCTTTGACTTACACCTGTCTCAGGTTTGCAGCCTTGGGGTGCTCCTGAATCCTCTGCTGCACCTAGATCTT